AATGTTATAAAAGTAGACATACAAAAAAATATACGGCGAAACCGGTAGTTTAAAATCGGACCAAACTGTTAGGTTTAAGTTTGGGGTTTTTTCAAACCGTTCAAAATGGTTTGGTTTAAGTTTGTGTTTTTCTCAAACCGGTTTAAACGGTTTGGTTTGAACATTTATCAAAAATCGGTAAAACCAGACCGCTTAGACATCTAGATAAGATTGAACAAAGTATACCAATGTCTTAGGTTCACGTATCACCACAACTCCTGTTTCTGGAAGAGTTCCACATATTAGGCTACTTACAGTTGGAAAAGACCACGTTGATAATATCTGAAATGAGTTCTTCAAAAATAAAACATGACTCGTGTTCTCTAACATGAGGTATGGAGTCTAATTTCAAGCAAGTACTTCATTACTTCTATAAGTCGACCCAAATAAAGTCCAACCGACTTTACTCCACCAATACATGCTTTCCAGAATAGTACGACTACAGCCGATCGACACACCAAAACCAAAATTCCTTCTTTTGAACGCGAACGGCACTCATTCATTCGTGCGAAATCCAACGGCCATTAATCATTAGCCACGTCTAGGTGGGTCCCACTGCCACCTCACGCCGTTTCTATTGTATTAATATCCCAACCTCACGTTGGAGTTATTGTCAAAAACTTGGAAATCCAAAAAATAGATCGAGTAGAAAAATATTCTGAAAAAAATGTCGTGGCAGACTTACGTGGATCATCATTTGATGTGTGAAATTGACGGCGTTAGTCTCACTGCGGCGGCCATCATCGGCCACGACGGCAGCATTTGGGCTCAGAGCGCCACCTTTCCTCGGGTCCTATTCCTTGTTTTTTTAGCTGAAATTTGATTAACAGTATTGTTATTTGTCGTTTAATTTTTTTAGATGCATGATATATAGGAATTCATAAACCAGTTATATTTTATGTAACTGATTGTGGCTTGCAAAATAAGAAAAGAAAAAACAGTGGATGCAGTTATGTTCTAATACACCAATCTATATGCATGCAGTTTAAACCTGAGGAAATTGCTAAAATCCTGAAGGATTTTGATGAGCCGGGATTCCTGGCTCCTACTGGGCTATACCTTGGTGGTACAATTACAAAGCACATGGATCAAGGAGAGCCTGGTGCTCTCATTCGAGGATATAAGGTTATTTTCTCTCTTATGAAATAACAAGGGTACCGCTATTTCCATCCATATTTTTTATATATACATCCCACTCTAAGTTCATCCCTAAAAAATTTTTAAAATTTTAAAAAAATACTATTTACATCCACGTTATATTCCAATTTTGTCCTTATTTAAAATTCATTCATTTAAATACTATATACATCCACATGAATTTTATACATTCGTCCAACTTTAAATGCATCCCTAATCCTATATGCATCCACACTTTTTACATATATCTACTGGGAATCAGAACCCACCAGTGCGATTCCTGCTACACATCATACAGATAAAGAACCTCCCAAGGAAGAATTCAGTGATTGGCCTCAAGGATTACTGGCAATTGGAACTTTTGGCAACACAGAAATTACAGAAAATCATGAGAACCAAGTTGGACAAAATCTGGACAACGAAATCCTACCGGACGAGCAATGTTCCTCTCCAGATTTTTCAGAATTCACTGCTGAAGAAGTAGGAAAGTTACAAAAGGAGTTGACAAAACTTTTAACTCGCAAACCAAAAGCTGAAGAACCAATTAATGATCTACCACTAGATAGATTCCACAACTGCCCTTCAAGCTTGCAAGTAGATCGTACAATTTTTCATGGCTGTATCTATGATAGAAGATATATACAACGCATGCTATGTAATATTCTGATACTACTCTGAAGATTTTCTTTGGGGCAATGCATTTTCCTCTATATTCTTATTCTAAAAAAAAAAAAAATTAATACTAGCACTAGTAACCCTAATGTGATTTCTTCCCCTTTCCCACCCCCGTCAGCCTCTTATCCTCCACCTACTGGCGGTGTTTTTGGCGGTGGGACATACTCATACGCACCTCAGAATTCTCCCTTTCAGTATTTCAGTCACCTCCCTATGTACAGTACTCCTAATCCTATGCCACCACGCCCGGACTTTGCTAACATGAACCACCAGAGGTCTCTGTCTTTCAGTTTTTGATCAAGCACATATTTTTACCTTATTGAAATGTGGATTTTTGGGTTATCTTTTGTTGGAAAAATCTTATTACTCTTTGGTGTTTTATGTATTGATTAGCTTTCTGGATTTTAGTAATTTAAATTTGGTTTTTGGGTTTTCATTTGTTAGAAAAATCAATTTAGAGTCATGTATTTTTATTTAATTTTGTTTATGTCTATTTAAGTAAATTTACAAAGGATTTAAA